ATAAAACCCGTGACAGTGACAAAGCTCCAGATGCTAGAGTTTTGAGCACAAAGAAAAAGTATACAGACTGAAGGTAATGAAAAAGCAAACGGTTTGGCTCGTCTTGGTGCTTCCTTGGTTGTATCCGGTTTATGTTCTTCCGAATATCGTTCCGGCTAACATGGCACTCATATCTTGATCTTGAGAACTGATTTCAAGGGACTATGTAAATACTTCAATGCTTACTGTAGTTTGTAGTTTGGTGTATAGAAACCCAAAAAGAGAAACTTCGTGTTTCTTTTAATACTTATTGCAGAAGTTGTATATACTTACTGGAAAAAGTAACTATTAATTTTCTCTGTGAATGCCTGTGTCTGGCTTTCAGAAGAAATAGATTTCTTGGCTATTACTTCTTTGGCAGCTTGTTAGACTGTTCATTGACAAAGACGAAAGATCTATTAAATTATTTAAATAAGATGAAATGGATTTAGTTTTTGTGTTTTTATATGTGGTAGTAAAATCGCTAATTCAGCTAAATGGAAAGTTATTTCCAGACCTGCCACTACAACCAATCATTATAGATAGTATCTTATCTTTCCTCTCAGTATGTGTAATCCACTTATGTGTAATCATACACTAAAACTTCGAATTTATACTGTGATGTAGGATATCACTTTTAAGTTTATGTAGGCATATTAATTAATAGCATTTGTCAAATACTTTATTGTGATCTATGTACTGTTTAGACTTGTTCAGTGTATTAAAGTTTTTAAAGTCTTGAAAGTACAATTGAAACTTATATTAAAAATGATTTTTTGAGCAAAAATAAGATAAAATAAAATTAATAATCAAATAATTATTTTATTTTCGTACAATTGATCGTTGCACTTCAAACACTTTTTTATCATAACATTCAAGATCATTGCCATAAGCTAAGTTAACCTAAACACAACTGAAATTATACAATGAAATTGGGGCGCTACCAAATAATAAAACAAATATTTTTTAATAAATTTTCAGTACATTTTAAAAGTGCATTTCAGAAGTGCATTTCAGAAGTGCATTTCAGAAGTGCATTTCAGAAGTGCCTTTCAGATTGCATATTTAGTGTTTATTGTGCTAAAAATAGTGCGCAAAGAGATGCTATACGTAAGTGACTAGGGTATTGAACTTAGATATATTTCATTACTCATGATTAATATTAAGTGATTTGATTTCCAATCAGATGAAATCAAACATAATTTTTTTTAAAAAAAAAAAGTATCTTATGAAGAATTGATGTGTAGTAATATTAACTTGAAAACAGTTTTAGTCAAAAATTGAAAACGTCATACACATATGAACTTTTTTTTGATAAGATTTATGATTAACATTTATAAATATTTCATATTTCTCACGTTTCTAATATTCTTATTAGTATTTTCATAATCAATATTTCGCTGGCTGCGCTTAAATTTCAATTGAATTTGAGCTGAGTCAAAATCTTAAGATATACCTTAAACTAATAGGAAGATATTCAATAATTTTTTGCATTGTTTCACCAATGTCTTCAATAATTTTGATAAAGTTTTGGATTTTCCAAATTTTTTTTTGATTTCCTTACAGCGAATTTAAAATCTTGAAGATTTATGCGCTAGTGACTCATTTCGCTAAACCAATATTAACGCCGACTTTTAGTAAGAAGAAGAACAATTGTTTAGTAAAAAAAACTTAATATTATTATGTAATAATCCAAATATGAAAATCGAGTGTAATTTATTCCTTTCTTTAATTTTTATTTTAATAATTTTTTTTTTATTTTAAATTTTGGAGATTTATGCGCTAGTGACTCAACTCAAGCAATTAGTACTTCGGCTTTTAGGAAGAAGAATAATAATTGTTTACTTATATTAATAATCCAAATTATTTAATTTTATTTTTAATAATTTTTTTTTTTTTGGTACTTATTAACAACCAACGCAGTTGTGATTGTCACAAACATTGAGTTAAAGCTTCTGATAAAATCGTTGGTACTTAATATTGTTAACTTTAAATTATTTTGTTATTACAATATTTTTATTAAAATTAATTTCTTTATTATTTTATTTTTATTTTTGAAATAATATATTTATATGTTATAATTTTTTGCAACCACTGATTGGAGGGTTTTATAATCTTCTAGAACAATCAGAGAAATATTTCCCCTCAAGCTGTATTAACTTAGTGAGATAATTCTTATATTAAAATTGACTTTTTCTTATTCTGTTTGTAAAATTATAATTAAAAAAATTTTTAATTAAAACATCTTTAGCGATAACAATTTATGTATCTTTGGAATGATATATTGAGAAAAGTATTTGCGTGGCTATTAAATATCAAATGAAGAGTTAGGACTTGTTATAATAAATGTTACAGTACATTTTATGAAGAAAAATGAACTTAAAGAAACTAGTTGAAGTCTTCAGCTCAATGGATCTATAAAGTCACACTGCGTGATCCCCCATTTTAATACTAAGGTAAAAGTACTTGTTTAGCATGACTGATTTTCTATTTTAAATGTGTTCTTTATTTAAAATTTTTTAAATAAAACCTTTTACATAAGGGCTTTAAATATCTGTATATATATATATATATATATGCGGTATTTCTATTTGCCTCTATATAACATATAAATGGCAAACATGATGTCTGTATTTATGATTGACTTTTAAATTGGTAACTACTTTTGAAGATTATTGCAAAACTATAAGTAAACCCCTTTTTAGACAAGTTCAATGATAAAGATTTAGATAAGTTTAGGCTGGGTTAGGTTAAAAGGGCGCTCGCAGAGATAACTGTCAGCACTTCCGCTCGAATAATTTCAGTATTTACGTTGTACACCTCTAGTACGGCTTTCAATTGATACCTCTCTCAAAACTATTACCTCTCATTTCATTTATAGAAATCTACATTTGTGACATTTACGTTGTATTAGAATATATTTTCAATAATTGTGCCATGTGACACATACATATCTACTCCTAATTGATCTGAAGTTTCATTCCATTATTATATAGGTATATAGAGAACGCTGATATATACAATTTTCTCATCTCCTGCTCAGTAACCACAATCATAATCTCGAACTTTTTTCTTTACATATAAGATATCTATATCCTGATGTTTCATGGATTTGCATTCTGACTGGTTTTCTAGATTTGCTTTTAGTTAATTAATTTAGTTTATAATTACTTTATTCTACTTATCAGTAAAATTTTTTTATTATCATTTGTTCCAAAGTATTCGACTATATTGTTTTATATTAAATAAACTTAATGCTGGCATATTAATCATAAGTTGGAATTAATATCACGCTCTTAAGATGTTTTGGGCTCCTACATGGACTTAGAGTGACTTCCTAAGTTTCATTTTCTTAACAAATAGTGGTATTTATCGTTTTTTGATGAACTTTAATCCCAAGATGTAGTGTGCCCTTAATGGATTTAGAGAGATTCCCTCAGTTTTATTTTTCTAATGAATATAGAATGAATAATGAATTCATTTTGACTAGTTCTTTTTCGTAATTAAGAGTTGTGTGATCACATAAGTTTTTCTACCGTTCCAGTTTCATCACAACGGTACAGAGTCTGCAGTATTTGGGGCTGTCACCCATTACCTACCCATCTATCTTTTATAATTTTTGCATCTGCCCAAGGTACCTCCCCACTTTATCGCGTTACTGATAATAAAAATAACTCAGTATAACAGTTGTGTACGGCGATAAAGTGTATTTTTTTAGTATTAACAAAATGTGAAATAAAAAAGTTTACATTTAACCATTAGTCAAAACTATTTAAAAACATTATTACATTAGAAAACATTAATGAGATTAAGAAAATTTTAAAATTATATCTAAAAAAGTCTCATTGCTCAGTGCACGCTGAGCACTGTTAACGTCAATAACGATGTTGACTTTTTTCTCTAATGTTTAACTGATTTTATTACAATTTCGTTGCTGTTAACGAAGATGTGAGTCAAAAACATAGAACAAACAAAATACAAAAACATAGAATGTGAGAGTAATAAGCCTAACTAAAATTGCTGTAATATTTAATTGCATTTGCTTTCGTTCGCCTCAGCCCAGCTGTTACTATTGCTGCTGCTGCTGCTGCTGCTAAAGCAACAAGTGAGTAATAATTTTCTACAGTATTTATTTTGCGTAAATAACCATTACATACGGAGATTTCTATATAGATTTAAATGTATTTGCTCAACTTTTTATTCGGCAACCAACAGCAAAAACATCGTTACACACATACACACGCACACAAACGACAGTAGTATCTTAATAAAGCTGCACATGAACATGAAGGGGCAAAAGCTTGACTACTCTGCGCTAAAATAGCGCCAGTTAGTGTGTTTGACTTTTGCTGTTGCTGATGTTTACTGGTTGTTGTTGACTCGTTATTGCTTGATGCCGAGACTTTACTTACACATTTTTTTGTTTTGTTTTGTTTTTGGATTTGTTGTTGGATTTAGGTTTTTTTCTTGAGTACAGGAGATTTAAAACGGCGTTGTCAATTGATTTTAGTTTATTAAGGTTTTAGACTTTCAGTTATTGACAACAGAAACAGCAGAAATTTTCGCAAAGCGACCAAAAAGGCAACTAGTGCGGTCAATACTTAACAAAAATTTTCAAGATCTATAGATGCTTTAATATATTATTTTAAACTAAATGAAAAATATTGTGCATTATAATTTTAATTGAATTGTGAAATTGACTTTTCATTGAATTTTTTTTCTTTTTAAATTTGGAAATTTAAAAAAGATTATGAGTGAAAAATTTAAATAGTTTTTATATTAAAAACGCTTTATGTTAACTCAAAAAACAAAATATAGAAAATAATTAATAGAAATATTAAATAGTGAAACAAAACAAAACTATAAATAAAATACTCAAATAACTGTGATAATTTTAAATGTTTTCTTAAAATTTTAATTTAACTCAAAATAAATTAAAATAAAAAAAATTGTAAAATAAAAAATAAAAAAATATAAAGCCGAAGTGAACAATTATAAAAAATAATTTCTAATCAAATAAAATGCCAAGCTTGATCGACACGTTACGCTTTGATGCTTTAACGGCTTTAAGCGTACAGCCTCAGTGTCAGTTGTTACGTGAGGCCGATGCGTGCCAGACCTGCCGAAATATGTCAAAATTTCGAAAAGGAAATCCAAATCTGTTCTTATCCTGCCAAATTAATAACAAAAAATCTGCCAAAAACATAAAATATTGTGATGTAAATAAACAGCACAAATCAAGTAAGTTCTGAGACGACATTCTGTATAAAATAAAGTTACAAAAAAAAAAAAATTTATTTAAGAAATAAATAATAATCAAAAACAAAAAAAAAAAATAAAAACAATAAAAAAATAGTTACTATCACAAAAAAAATTTTTTTTTTAATATAAAAAAAAAAGTTGATATTGAGGGTATAATGTTAATTTATTTGAATAAATCAAAAAATTTGTAATATAGTAGAATAAACTAAAATATATACAGAATATATAATAAATTAATAAAATACAGAAGTTAACTTAAAAATATTTTAATAATTATATATAATAATATAATAGTTTTAAACAAATCAATAATAATAGCTATATATTTAACACAAAAATTAATATTAAATTTAATAGTCGTTTATAAACAAATATCTCTTAATTGAAATAAATTTTAATTTAAAATTATAAAATTATGGAACATTTTAGTAATCAAATACAAATTAAATAGATTTAAATAAGTATTCAAATACAAATTTCTAACTAACTTCAGTTAAAATTTAATTATTAATTTAATTTATTTAACTCATGAACTGATGAAATTTTAAAACAATTTTAAAACAATATACAAAATTCTTTAAAATCTTTGATGCTTAAAAAAATTGTTTTTAAGGACAAACTTTAGAGGTTTTCAAAATGTTTCCTAAGTTTACAGTAAATAAAAAGAAACTAAAAGTTTAAAATATATAAATATTTTTATATTATAAAATAATCACTAAAAAAACAAAAGAAATTGTCAAATAGTATTGAAAATTAAATTATCAATCAAATTTTAAATTATTTTTTTATTTTATATAAAAATATAAAATATATAAAAAATAAAATATAGAAATATATAAAAAATATATATTATCTATTGCTTTTCTAAGCTTTTAATCTAAGCTTTTAAAAACAATTATTTTTTTTTATAATATTATTATTATAATATATATAATTAATTATTATTATTATACTTATTATAATATCAAATTCTATATCAGATAAATAAATCAACAAAACCTATTTTTATTTCTGAAAATATTTATATATTGTTGAACTGGCTAGTAAAAATCTAATAAATAAATAATACAAAACTATTTAAATTAATATTAAAAAATACATTTTATGGTCACCAATATTTCCACTTTTGTCTATAGACATTTTCAGGGTACAATTAATTATAATATATATAGAAATTATGAATGCAATAAAATTTATATTATGAATATATATAAAGAAAATGTGGGTGTATACTTTTTTCTGCTTACTGACCTTAACAATCTGACCTATGGTGTGATAACCCCACATTTTTGCTGATAACATATTAGCTTTAGTAATATAATTTACCTAAATATTACTTCAATAAAAAGAAAAATGTTTACAATGTTTTTTACTATAATACTCGAAACAGCTGCATGGTCAGCCAAAAATTCAATTAATTAAAATAATATAAAAAATAAAAATTTTTGTTGTTGTATTTCACTACTGTTCGAAAAAACCTCTTCATGAGGTTTTTCATGTTTAATGTGAAAGTAAAAACTAAATTTTAATCAGTTAAACAATTTTTTTAAACATTTGAAGCGATCATTTTTGTACTTTAGCAATATTAATACACTTACAATAAAGTTAGTGCTATTAATAGTTAACTCTTACATTTATATTATACCATAAATACTTCATATCCTTTTCAAGTAATATATACATACGTCACATTGTCAATACTAAAAAATGTATCTCAACTTCTTTTTATTTTTAATTCTTGCCATATTGTCAAGTAAAGGTTGTTTATTTTTGGCGCGGAACAATTTGTTTTATGTGATGAAATTTTACTTATGACTCATTTTCAAATAATAATAATTGTTGGTTTTAAAACTCAGTATTAACAAATATATAAAATATATGTCTTTCTTAAAAACGTGAACTTTGAATTTTACACAGTTCCTGTTTTAAATATATATATAGATATTAACTTTTTATTCTTAATTTAATTTAAATTAAAACAAGTATGCTTTTTGTATTAACTACTTTGGTATAGTGTAGATTTTATAACCGTAGGCGTTTCTTCGGGAAGACTTTTATATTTTGACACAATGTATTTTGAGAGATATATTAAAAAACCTCTCTCCTCTCTTACAGAACATTTCTCGTTCCTTAGAGCAGAAAACTTCTTCCTTAAGGACTAGAATTTTATAATGAAAGATTCCGTTTACATATAAACGCTATTCAATCTCAAAGTCGTATATGATGTGATCTGAAAAAGACTTTCAGTGTTAATATTCTGGAATTTTTTTGCACATAACATTTTTAATAAATTTTATTTATTTTTTATACATATGTTAGTAAAATAACAACTTAAAAATTTTCATTTTTTTCTGATTTCTGCTAAAAAATATTAAACAAAATATAGATTTTTTGCTCTATTTTTATTTTACAATAACAAATATTTTTGTTATTAATTTATATTGAAAACTACTAAAGTACTTAAATTTTTTATATTATCCAAAATTATTTTTTTAATTTAAAAACATAAGTATACCTGCTTCTTGAGTATTCCTCTACTTCTTTAGCTTAACAATTCTTGAAAAACTCAACTTTACAACATGAAAGCCACCCTTTCTTGTCCATTACAAGTTAGCGTTTGTTAAAAATATTTAGACCTTATGGTTATACATATGATTAATAAAATAAATTAAAAAATAATAAAATAAAATAAAATAATAATTTTTTAATAATTAATAAAAAGTTATTAAAAAAAAAATTAAAATAAATAAAAATTAACTCTTGAATTAATAAACGCGTGCCGAATTAAATTAAACTTATAAATTATATAATTTATAAATAAACCCTGTGCAGTACCTTAAGTACTTCCATTCAATAATAGTTGTGCAAATTTGTACGTTCAAGGTGTTATTTATTAAATTTATATAGGCAATTGCATTATTTAAGTAAAATTATAAATGCATATACATTTATCCTTATATATTCTTAACGAAATACAGTTTCCATTTGTTTTTAGAATGTGTAGTTTGGTGTTATCATAAGCATTCATTTAATCACATAATTATAATAAATTATAATTAGCACTTTACTTTCGCTGTTATCAGTATTTATAAAAATTTTAACTCAACAAAAAAAATAAATTAATCAAACCTTTAAACTTTATAACTTATATAATATAATTTAATTAAATTTACTAAATGCATTAGAATTGAAATGATCATGTAATTATATTTGTTAATTTTTAATAACAGTTGTTTTTTTTTTCAATTTCTAAATTACTTTTAATCTGATTAAAATGTTTTTCTTTGAGATTTTTTTCTCTAATCTAAATTCCGTTTTAGTTACATTATATTTTTTTATTTCATTATTTGATTATTTTAACACCACTTGTCATTCAATTTTTTTTTTAAATTTTATTTTTATATATTTTTTTATTAATAAATTACATTGTATATATATTTTATGAATGAATCATTTATTTCTAGTTCCTTTTTATTATTTTAATTGAAAGCTAAACTAAAAAATTTAAAAAATCAAATAAAAAGTATATAAAAAAAAATTTATTCATTTAAAAATATATAAAAATAAAATTAAAAAATAAAAATAAAAATAAAAATGGGTGTTATAATAAAGTACATAATAGAGAAAATTTAAACAAATAAAAGTAAAAGGAAATTAAAATTAAAACAAAAAATCTCTCAAATCAATTTCCAATTAGTTTCACACATACACATACAAGCTAACAATAATAATACGAATCGGTTAGTGAAATTGTTATTGTAATGGCGTATCATTAAAAATAATGAAATCCGAAGCTACAAAATTATTTTTATAACCTTTGCACGCTACTTAACAGTTCAGTACGTTCCCTTTCTATGTGAATGTGTGTGGGTGTTGTTTTTCCACGTCTAATGAATGAAAATGTGACTAAGGAAAACAAATGTTACAATGGTTGATGTGTGAATGTGCGTGTGCCTGTGTGTGCGTGCTACAGTACGTTTGTGTTGCTAATTAATTATTACAGTTACTTCAGGTGCAAAGGCTATTTTTAAATTATTTATCAATTAAATGCATCTTTAATATTAAAAAAAATTGTATATAAATATTCATAATAAATATTTGATTATTAACATTATTAAAATATAATTCTATGGAGAATAAATTAATAATGAGGTGGACATTTTTCAGATGTTGTAATAAATAAAACACTCATACGTCACAGCGCATCAAATTAAGACAAAAATATTAAGAAAAAAATGATATAAGTAAAATCATTACATTAACACAAAATCATTCATATAATAATAATAATAATTAGTAATAATAATAACAATAATAAAAATAATATTAATAAGTATGATATAATAAAATAATATAATGGTAATAATTAGTAATAATAATAAGAATATAAATAATAATAAAAAAAAAATAGTAATAATAATAATTAGTAATGATAATAATAAAAATAATAATATACAAAAGTAATTTAAAATAATTATAAAGTAATTAAGTAGTAACTAATTTAAATAATATTTTCTATTCGACGTATTTTTTATAAACAGTCGAATATAGTTATAGTATATATAAATATTTAATATAAATGTATCAATTCTAACTTTTGACAAAAGTTGCAATTGTAATAATAAAAATATAAATAATAATAAAAAAAAATAGTAATAATAATAATTAGTAATGATAATAATAAAAATAATAATATATAAAAGTAATTTAAAGTAATTATATAGAAATTAAATAGTAACTAATTTAAATAATATTTTCATTTCGACGTATTTTTTATAAACAGTCGAATATAGTAATAGTATATATAAATATTTAATATAAATGTATCAATTCTAACTTTTGACAAAAGTTGCAATTGTCTAGACTCTAGAGAATATAGGGGTCAGAACAATGGTATGTTCTGAAATCAACACAAGGAAAGTTAAGTGTAAAAAATAGAATTCTGCTTAATAAGTTAGTAAACTGCTATATTCTTGTGTATCTTATAGGAATGCTGTTCCATCCACCATTACAGAACTTCAAACTTATTAATTATTATTATTATTGAGATATATAATAAAAGCTCTATGATATATCAGAAATGAAGATATAGATACAAAGTTTGAAAGTTGAGAGTGTACATTAAAGTCTTTCCTTGATGAAACTATCTTATTATATAGATGCTCAAATTTGTTTAGAGTTGCAGTGTATTAAATCAAATGCAATATTTATTCCTTCAGAAAAATATGCTCAGAGCATTTTTCTGCAAAATCGTCTTAATAACCTTTAATCATAATTCAATGAAGTTTTTTTAAAAAACTCCTTTAACAACATAAATAATCAAATAACATATACACATATATTAATATAGTAATAAAACTTTTAATATTATTTTAATAGTTTCATTTCCGCTAAAACTAAATTATATTGTTTAATAATAGAAATAGACCACACAACATAGAATAATGTGAGGTCTCTTAATATATACTATTTGTAATTATATGTGTATTAAATGTTTAAATCCTGATAATTAATAAATTTCTAATGCTTTGGCATTTCGGAAATGTACACAAAAATGTAAAATTTATGTTTTACCGATCGCTGCACAATGGACATTCACATTGTGAGCATTGCAACAACTTCATTGTGTTTGCACAAATGCATATTGCATCTGTGGACATTACAAATAGTATCTGAGGGGCTTTGGAGCGCCAGCTAATTGCAACGACCGCACACCTTGAACTTGAGCTTCAGCTTTCTCAATGACGCTGTACGCAATAAACGCATTCAATTATTTGCTATCGCGGTTACCGCGGGTACTATGGCGATCATGACCAGCTGCAATGTAGTTGCATCTACTGCATGTGCGTAGATGCAACTTGTGCAACTAAAATCGTTTAATGTTTGCTTTAATGTTTACAGTAGTAATAAAAACAAAAAAAAAACTGAATTAAAACTCTTTTAATGAATTTACTACATAGTACGGCGTACACAATAGTGATCTTATTAATATATTACGATTTCTGTTAATGCATTTAATTGCACTAGCCCCTGCAACAGCAACAATAGCAACAACAATGACAGCAACTATAAATACAACAAATAAACTCACAATTTATAAAAAAAAATAAATTTAACGCTGAAGATAATAAAGTTGTAGTTTCATTTTGATTGTGAAGTACAATTAAATATTTTTTTATCTCAACAATAAAAAAATAAATAAATATTAAATCAATTGAGTTTAAATAAATATATATGGTATTAATTTAATTTTTTTAATTTTTCAGAATTTGGAGTATTCCTCATAATATTTTTTGTTATCTCCGTACAAACTACACACGGAATACCCGTGACACCTTCCGGTCAGAGGCTCATACGTCATACACCGCAATATCGCCATCAATACCATCAGAAGCTATTGCAAGATCAGCGAACAAGACTACAGCCGACCCCACCACACAAACATCATCTACATCTACGCGCAGCGCCAAATATGAATTGCAATGAAGGAGTGGATGCGGTTGATATAAGATCAATCTTAAAACATCCTTACGATCAAGCCAATGCATCTTTCACACATCTGCGCCAAGTATTAGATGAATATGTAAGTGTGAAAATTAAACAAACTTGTTTTATGAACTATAAACTAGAATATTACTTACCACTTGCTATATATATTTGGTAAAATGCAAACTATTGTATTTTATTCTTATTCCTTATTTCTTATTCTTTTGTTTTTATCAAAATATACTTGATAAATTTCTATATTAAATAATAATAAACTCATTAAAGTACATTAAAGTACTCAATACAAGGCTATTGAAATTTGATTCGTGTTTGTCTTATAAGAGATTTCATCAACAAAAAGTACCTTTTCTCTTAATAAAAGTGTTTAGTTAAACTTAAGTGATGGAAATTTTATTTTAAATTATATAAAAAACAGGTTTAAACAACCATATAACATGGCATTTAAACATTAAAATGTATCTTACAAAAGTATATCTTGTTCGATTGGTTGATTTAAACGGAGGCAGAGCTTTCTCTGTTGCTCTATTGTTACCACATGTTCGTATATGGGCAAAGGGCAAAGCTTTCCCAATTTCTCTATTCTCACTACTTTCCGGAGCTAAGATTTAAGAAATCAACTTCTGATATTTATTAATTAAATTAATCTCTTTTGATCAACACATAAACATTAATTATTAGATTTCTATAGTGTATTATTTTGATCAGGTCATATATGAGCTTTTCTATAGGAAGAGCTTAATGTTATTAGTGTTATGGTGACCCACGGAGATCTATCGAGCAGATAACAAGAAAGGAATTACAAATGTGTGCAAATGGGTGAGGATGTATGTCGGTAATGGTAGTGTGAAAGCGTAGGAGATTGTTTAAGAGTAAGAATGGATTGGAAGTCGGTGAAGTTTTAACCGCTTAATAATCCCTGTTTCTTCCACCCTCTTAAAAGTTCTGTAATTATTCTAATTTTACAGCATTGTTATTTACAGTATTAGTATAAGATATAACTAATAAACGCAGGCTAACGAAGAACATTTTTAATGGATAACTAACTTTATCGGATTGCCGATAAAGTTCTAGTATAGAAACGGTCTAGCATATAAAGGGGATTTTTTTAGTTCATGCAAACAGAGCATACCAGTATTGTAATAGTATAGTGACGATGCGTTTGGCATTTTTAAAAAACCTCTTCGAAAAAAAGACAAAAAAACTTTAAGATATAATAATATATATAACTTATTTATTATGGTTTCTTATGTATTATGTCTTTGTTTCAAAAAAAAAGTTCTTTACTTTAAAGTGTTAGGAAGACTTGATGTAATGTAAGAATCTGTTAACCAGTTGGCCGCGTTCTTTTGAAATAACTTTCAGTACTTTCATTGAGATGCTCTATAAAGATAATGGTCTTGTGGTGGATATGTCTACCTAATCGATCATAACCGATTAGTAAATGTTGTTAGAAGATTGAATTTCTCTTTTAATTATTCTTGTCGCAATTGCATATATTTTACAAATTTTTCTATATTTTATTTCCTTTCTGTTTTTAGGCCAAAATCGTGCAAAATGCTGAATCGGCGCAAAATGTCCGTGTTACTTGGAGACTGCACCATGTAAAATGGGATCACCAGTTGAAAGCAGACTTGACCGAAGATTTTGATGTTGATCCAAAAGTGAATAATGTGTACTTAAATGCTTTGCGCGGGGACTTGAACTTAACTAGGGTAATTATTTTAACTTTTTTTTATTTTTTATATTAACTCATAAAACTAATGAAACATTTTCCTTTGTAGATCAAAAATGAATTAAAAAAATACAATGAAACATTAACGATGTTAAAAGCAGAGGTTAAGAAAGTTATTTCATATCACAATGCAAATAAAGATGAGAAATATGATAAAAATAAATATATTGCCGATTTCTTTGAGAAATTCTCCCTGAACTTAGAACGTGACCTGGAGGAGTGCAAATTAGCAATGGCGACATTGTGTGTTAAAGAGTCGACTGTCGAAGAGCCGGACACTAAATACGAGGGTGGAGATCTAGATAATTGGCTTATCATTCAGGAATACCTACGTTTGACGCATTTTATGAGTGTTGCATATGAGATCATGAGAGATTACAACTAGAGAACAATTGTAATATAAAAAATTTGAATTCCCAATTTTAAAATGCATATCTACATTTCTTATTAAAATCGCAATGGGTTTAGTTTGTTCCTCTTTGTCAAAATTTTTTTAAAAATATTTTGCCCATAAATAGGAAATAATTACCGAAATACTATAATTCAATATTATTTGTTTACAAAATTTATGTTTTAAATTCTGAATGCATTAAATTTCAATATTTTATTTTGTTGTTTCGCTGTTAAGTGTCTCAAAAAATTGAAAAAAAAACAAATCATAAAAAAAAATCACAAGAAAACGTCAAAAAACGTTACGTATTTAAAATATGCCAAAAATCATTACTACTTAAGAACTGTCAGTTGGTTATCATTAGCAACTCAAGCATCATACAAGACCAACTAAACCATTTTATTGTATTAACTAAATGTATTATTTATTATAAATATCTACTGCATTTTGAATCAGTTTGAAGAGAACACTCAAACTCCCTCCAAACTGATTTTTTTATATATATTAGCTTTCCGCACACACCCTCTCACGCTAAACGACTAAATGCAAAATCATCGATTTATCAATTAAATTAAAAAACATCTACACATACATAAGATATAAGGCTTTCACTACTTTAAGGTTAATTTAAATTCATTAAATTCATAAAAAAAGTTTTTTGCATTTTTGTATAAAATTATAAAATATCAGTTTTATGTTATTTTAATTTATATTCACTAGAATTATTTTGTAATATAAGCCTTAATTTATACACAATCTGCGATTTAGATTAATTTTTTATATTAAATTATTATTATATTTATTATTTTATTTATTTGATAATGGAAAATTGGTAGTTCATTTTTAGTTTTAGAAATTAATGATAAATTCAAAAGAAAATTGATAGATAAATTTAAATTTAATTTTTAATTGTTTAAATTAATTATAAATTGTTTTTAATTGTTATGCATAAAGTTATTTTGTAAAAAACAAAAAAAAAAAAAATTGCGCATTGTTGCAAAATTATATACTCAAAATTCATACATATATACAATTTAACAAATGTTACATTGTTGTACAAAACTTCACTGAAATTATATAAATTTATTTAAATATAGTTAAATATATTATAATCGTTATATAACTTAATGTCTTCAAAACAAAAAATAAACAAAAAAATAAACAAATAAAACAAATTGCAAATTAAATAAAAAGGTCTACGTGTTTTCCAAGACTCATTGAAGAATCATTCATTCCAAGACTCGCATACTATTCGGTATTTGGATCAAAATATGCATTCACTAGAATGCCTGGTAATTGTGAAAAGCATTAATTTGTTTATTAATTAAAGTTTGAATGATTAAATTCCTGTTTGCGTATTTCCTCGATTTGCTGGCATAAGTCATTCTTGATCATACATAGAGAGCTTATCAAATGGCAAGCGTGAGGTTTTCGTAACACTGACGTCAAACGCCGAAGCGATGCGGTTGCGTGGCTCATTAATAATACCGTCCCCACTAACCCCAAATATGTAGCAAGTATCCAATATTTTAAGTACCACCAATAACTGAACGACAAACAACGCTATCAATGTGGGTTATTTCATTGACTATAAAGTCAGTTGTATTGCACATGTTCTGATTACAAAAATCTATTTTTAAACTATTATTCTAGCCCTACAGACGAGTGGTTTTTATTTACGATTTAAATTTGTGCTGTTCCCGATTTATATGAATTACGGGTTAATAAATTTTATTTAATAATAATATTGACGCCTTAAGATACATTCGATGCACAATAATTTTATCTGTTGAAAGTGACGAACTATGCACTTGGTACCAATTAATACAGTCTGAGTTCAAGCAGTGGTGTAGTCACAATTTTGTCAGAGGGGCGAAACTGCAATATATTTTTTTGCAAAGTTATCTGCTGTTCACAAAATTTTATTTAAGAGTAAAAAGTAGTTTTATATACATAAACATATGTATATGTATACAGATAGATATGTTACATATAGTTTTGTATTCGAAAGATGAATAATATATAATACTTCTTTTTTAGTGTGTTATGCATTTTACAATATTATAATAAAGTAGTAGTTTTATTATAATTACTACTTTATTATAATTTTTTAAAATATAAAAAACACTTAAAAAAGAAAATAATATAAATATATACATTTATATAAAATATAATATAGATACATTCGATGCACAATAATTTTATCTATTGAAAGTGACAAATTATGCACTTGATGCCAATTAATACAGTTTGAGTTCAAGCAGTGGTGTAGTCACAATTTTGTCAGAGGGGCGAAACTGCAATATATTTTTTTGCAAAGTTATCTGCTGTTCACAAAATTTTATTTAAGAGTAAAAAGTAGTTTTATATACATAAACATATGTGTATGTATACAGATAGATATGTTACATATAGTTTTGTATTTAAAAGATGAATAATATATAATACTTCTTTTTTTAGTGTGGTATGCATTTTACAAAATTATAATAAAGTAGTTGTTTTATATATAACTACTACTTTATTATAATTTTTTAAAATATAAAAAACACTTAAAAAAGAAAATATATATATATTTTTTTTATATATATTATATATATATATATTATATATATATATATATATAATAGGGAGTAATAGTAATAGTAATACTCAGACAAATGTGCTCTCAACATAACAAACACACTTCATGAGCATATAAACCTCATTCTGGAGTATTTTCAGAAATGGAAAATAAAAATCAATAATGAAAAAACTAAGGCCCTGTTTATAACGCGTAAGTGAAGACAGAATCCGTCAAGTGTGAGAGTGGGTGATATGGTGATAAACTGGGAGGATAGCGTTAAATATCTCGGCATCACGTTGAACAAACGATTCACATGGCTTAAATATGTTCAACTGAAAAGAATTAGCTGCGCCAAAATTCTTCATTACCTCCAACCGCTATTTAGAAATGAAAACCTCAATGCTAAGAACAGAAACTGATATATAACCAAATAATTTGTCCGTCCTTCTATATGGTTGTGTAGCGTTTAACAAAGCTTCAAACACTACTATTCACCAGTTATAAATTGCACAAAGCCAGGCTCTGAGAAGACTTTTCAATGTTCCTTGGTACATTAGGACGAATGACATCCTCAGGGGCCTCAAGATTGATCCTATCAAAAAATACATAAAGGATAGAGCCCTGAAATTATTTGCGAAATCTGACAGACTTACTAACACCGCGTTATCAAATCTCAGAATGGTTACAGGCTCGTCGGGGAGATATGCAGATCTGAGTTCAATTATTGCTTAGTCTAATGAAGTGATAAACAATAATCCAGTCAAGGCGCAAAGAGGGGTTTTGTAGAAACAACGTAGTTAATAGAGAGTAAAAGTGCTCAGGTGCACTGACTCAACTCAACTAGCCTCAACATAGTAGTAGAATAATCTAATAGAATAGGGAGGCCAAGATTCATATAATAGAACAAAGTATGCTCTAGTTTATTTTCCTTAAAAATATGAAACTACATATATATTAAGAATGTTAATATAAGCGTGGTCCAAGGTTATATGGAGAGAAATATTTTTATTCTGATCATATTGATTGTAACAATTTCTGAAAAATCAATCTTTTTTAATGGAAAGGAAAAAGATCTGCAGAAATTTTGAAATAAAATTAGAATAAAGACGTACCGTAACGCCTTTGACATTAGTAGTATTTTCCGGAATCTTATTTAAATAAGCTCTTTGCTCAAAATCTGGATCTAACTCTTAAAATTGACGAGTTTTTGATATGTTTCTTATATATTATGATCATGATTTCTGAATAATATTAGTTATAAAATGTTAAGACAAAAATATAACAGTATTGTGTAGTTTTTATTAACATTAACTTATATTCAAAGGAGGGTTCCATTCCCCTGATATCCACACTAAATAAGCCACTGAGCCCAAGTGCAACTTATTACGGAAAGTGTTTTTATTTAGATTTCAGAATAATGAATGAATTTATTTTTAAAAGTGTGTGATACTTACGATATTTAATAAAATAATAAAAAAATTAGAAAAACATTTATTTATGTAATTAAGAAATTCTTATTAAAAACGTCATTAAATAATATTATAGTTGCTTTGTTCAAACAAAAGTGATTAAATTAAAAACAGAGTTTATAACAATTACGTATATTTATGTTATGTAGTTGTGGTTTATGCATTAATTCTTAAAATATCAAAGCAAGTGCAGTAGATATTTAGGAATAAACAACAAAAACTAATGAAACTTTTAATTTAAATTACGCAAATCAACTGCACATTGGCTTTGAGTGTAAACATATTATTCATGGGTTAAATATAACATAGTTCCATAACACTTGCAGTCCTAAAATTCTGGCATATACGAACAATTAAGATAATATACGCTTTTAAAAACTAAAGATTTATATTTCTCTGTTTCAGAGATAACTATATTATCAGCAGAAATATTGACTTGATTAAAAACAAACTTAATTTTTAGATTTAAAAACTACCACACTAATCACCTTCCTACTTTCCTATTCATTGAAAGATTTTCTTAACTATCTAATCAAATGTTATATTTCATATTATTTAAAAATAAGGTGGTCGGTATTCTAAACATAAGCTTCATATGTGTCTCATAAGGTGACAAATACGGTGAACGACGAAGAGCAACAGAGTAATCTCAATCAACTAAACAGCTAACAGATCGTGCTGTATAAGTTAATTTATATAATTTATATAATTTATATAATTCTTATATAATTCTTCGAAAATTAAAATTAAGACAGTGGCAGTGCTTTTGCCGTTCACTTAATTTTTATATTATGTGTTATATCGTCAAGGAGGAATATATCTCTAACGTAATGATGTATTAGATTTTAGGAACTTAGAATAGAAATTTTTTTATAAGGATGTTATTTAGTCATGAAGGCAGAACGTAAATGCTTCAGATGCGGTACATATTTTGAGTATTAAAGTGATTATGTGTACGACCCTACCTGACTGATTTTTTAAGCGGTTAAGTTTGCATCCCGGTAACATTCAGCATCATCGATGATTGAACATTCCCGTAAAGACTTGAGACATGCTCGTTTATACCAACATTTATACCTGATTCGATACAAATATAACAGATTAAACAGATTGAGATTGAGATTAAACA